CTTGATCAAATTTGGGCATGTGGCAACTAGCATGGATTTATGATGATTGCAAGATCCCTTGATCATGTGTTCGCCATTTGCAACATTTCGAGCAGGTTTCTGACAAGCAAAGTCAATGGGAAAACCAGATTCACTTAATAATGGCTGAAGGAAAAGTCTTCTTCAGGGTCCAGTCCAAGCCGGGAATAAACAACATGGCGACTGCTTTAAAAAGAAGGTTGTAGTTTATTGAATAGGAGAGCCAGACAGAAAGATGGATCTGGAAGAAAAATGTGAGCACATGTAGTAGGGAATGAGTTTTTATACCCTTTGGGGCTTTTGTTTGGAGTTGTTTCCTGTTCCTGTTTGAGGCTTTGTATTTCCTGTGTCATGTACTTTGACCTGAGTCTGAGTGTGCCCCTTTGGCATCTGTGAGTTAATCCTATTATGTCCTGTCTTAGAGTTTGAGTGGAGTATGTAAATTTTAGGTGTTTTTTTCTTCCTAAACTTCTAGCTGGAGGGCTCCAACCTTCCACATACTTTTTTGAAATTGTGTGATGTATAGAGGGAAAACTTGCATGCTATCTGTACATGCTGTGAATAGAACCCATGGCATCACAACAAGATGAATCCTCCTGATCAATTTTGGAGACTTTAATTTTTTAAATTTTAAACAACCATAAGATCTGCTTCTTTAATCTGGAGTCCTCCGAATGAATTGGGAGCACAGCTGCCAGAAAATAGTATTTTAGAAGGACACCATTTTGAAGAAAGTTGAATTATTGGAACTCTTCAAAAGCGAGGCATTATTCCCATTTTTACTTACAGGTAAGGCTTTTTATAGCTTTTATGAGTTATGAGTGTGGGTAAAAATTAGTTACTAGAATGCTAATGAAAGGTAACTATGAAGCACTATACTGGTTGGGATTAATGGAATTTACCCACCTGGAATGGATCAAAATGAAACTAAAAATATCTGTGATGCTAAATATATCTTTTTGGTCTACTATGTTTAAGTTACCATTTAAATTTCAAAGCTGACGTAAATAAAATGCAAGAGGCATCACTAGAAAGCTGTTTACTTCCTCTCTGGAGTGTCAGACCAAGCTCTCAACATATAATGTAGGCGTATGTTTTATAGTTTGAGAGAACACATATTAAACACTGGATATCAGCAAATGCTATACATACTTCTATCCCACTGACATTCCAGCTGTTCACTGAAATTCATCCCACTTTTCAGTGTTATTTTCATAACAATCCTATAAGGTAGATTTCACTAAAAGAAAGTGACTGAAGAGATGCAGTATAGTAACCTTTGTACAGGTAGTCCTTGTACAGGTACGACCATTTGTTTAGTGACAATGGCACTGAAAAAAGTGACTTATGACCAGTTTTCACTCTTACGACTGTTGCAGCATCCTCATGGTCACATGATCAAAATTCAGCCACTTGGCAACTGGCATGTATTTATGATGGTTGCACTGTCTGGGGTCATGTGATCACCCTTTGTAACCTTTCCAGCTGGCTTCCAACAAGCAAAGACAATGGGGGAAGCCAACTTCAGTAACAACCACATGATTCACTTAACAACTGGAGTAATTTGCTTAATAACTGTGGCAAAAAATGGTCTAAAATGGAGCAAAATTCAGTTAACAATTGGCTTGCTTAGCAATGGAAATGTTGTGGTCATAAGTTGAGGACTACCTGTATCCTGCAGTCTGGGTATTCCCGTATCTGGATAGACCTCAAATATGACACTTACCTCACTTTTCCCAGGCTTAAAAATGAGACATTGTCTAACAATAATTACTTCTTGGAAAATGAACATCCCAGGTCTCTCAAACAGATTATAAAATCTTATTTAAACCCATAATCTTTTACAAATTAATTGGTTACTTTTACTTTAATATTTATTTGGGTAAATAAAAAACTGTGCAAAATAAAAACTAAAAACTAGAACAACCATATAAATCCAAACCAAGGTACTATGAGAAGCTAGTACTATTATTTTTAGGTTTGTTACTATTATTATTATTTTGGTTGAACTCCTGATGTTGTTGTGTATGAAATAATATGGTTTCTGGGAAGACAAGTAATTGTTGAAAAACATTGAAGAGAGTGATTCACTTCTGGAAAGAAATAAACCTTAAAGGTTATTGATTCATACAACAAAACAATTGTTAGCATGTACAAACACGAGAATATTAGAGAGAGATCTAATAATGGAGAGGTTTTACAGTAACACAACCAACACTGTCAGACACCATTTAGAAATTAATTTGGTTAATTAGTAACTAATATAATTATGAAAATAAGTATGGTACAGTAGACTAAAACAGCCTATGAGTAGTTCTCTAAACTATTGCTACAGTACAGGTAGTCCTCAACTTACGACCACAACTGAGCCCAAAATTTGTTAAGTAGCTTTGCCCATTTTACAATTCTTCTTGCTACATTTGTTAAGTGAATCACTGCCATTATTAAATTAGTAACACAATTGTTAAGTGAATCCGGTTTAGTGTTAGTCAACATCACTAAGGTATTCGGTTCTAAGTAGAGTCATAACTAGGTGAAGTACCCCTCTGCTCACCCTTCTACATGACAAATCACTTCTTCTGGGAGGAGCATAATCTTATCCAAAATACATATTGGGGCTAATATTGGATCACCCATTGATAAGATTTAAGCTGTACTTATTGTTCACTATTCCCATCCTCACAGTTTTTGAATGCTGGTTCAGGATACCCATAGTATCTCTGGCTTGGACCAGGGTGACACTGTGTAAGAAGATGTCATCTATGGATGATGGGTGTCCTCTTCCAGTGGTTTCATAAAACAGGGGAGATGAATGAGCTCCATGGAACCCTCATTACATATGGGACCAACCTTCTTCTCCAAATAATGACTAAAAGTACCCATTTAGGTAGGAACAATCCATCATTAAACAGTGCCCCCAACCATTGTAGATATCCAGAAGAAGTTGAGTAATAGTTATTAAACACCACTAAGAGGTCCAATAGGACCAAGATGGGCATATTCCACAACATAGGTCATGGTAAAGGTCATAGAAGAGCAACAAATGCTATTTCTGTATTATGAACTGTGTAGATGAAAAAGATCTACACAATCCTGTTGAAAGAAAAATCTTCATCAGGGTCCAGTCCAAGCTGGGAATAAACAAAATGGAGAGTGCTTTAGAACAGTGGTTCTCAACCTTTTTAATGCCGCGACCCCCAACCGGTCGTAAGTTGAGGACTACCCAACCAGTCGTAAGTCGAGGACTACCCAACCGGTTGACTACCCAACCGGTCGTAAGTCGAGGACTTTCCATGCCCGGGAGCGCCATGCATGCGTAGTGCCGCCCCCTGTGCCGGCCGAGGCGTAGCTGGCAAGGGGCAGCGACGGCGCAGGGCGACCACCGGCTGGGCCACCAGCTGGCCCAGCCCAAGGGAGGTAAGGCACCCGCCGGGCCCCACACACGCCAGCAACCCTCCCTGTGCCCGCTGGCCTCCCACCTCCCACCCCTGGCCCTCTTTTACTTACATTTTTAGTAGTTGCTCAGCAGGGAAGGGCCTTCGCTGCAGACAACTTGCAGCCCTGTTTGCAGAATGGGACTTTTGGCGGGCTCAGCAGGGCAGAGACAGCCTGGACAATTCCTATTGGCTTTTGAAAGCCAATAGAATTAGACTCTATTCAAGAGAGTCTATTCTATTGGCTTTCAAAAGCCAATAGAATAAAAGGGAGTAGCACAGCTAAGGAAAAGGGGAAAAAATGGCGGACTGCGTTGTTTGGCGACCGTGAAATGGTCGTTCTACCCCAAATGGGGTCGCGACCCACAGGTTGAGAACAGCTGTTTTAGAAAGAAGGTTGTGGTTTACTAAAGGGCGGAGCCAGATAGCAATGTGGCTCTGGGAAAGCTGACCACATGTTGCTGGGAGTGGTGGGTTTTTATACCTTCTGGGGCTCTTGAGATTGTTTCCTGTTACTGTTTGAGGCTTTGTATTTTCTGTGTCATGTACTTTGACCTGAGTCTGAGTGTGCCTTTTTGGTATTGGTTGGTTAATCCTATTATGTCCCCAAACGTAATGTTTTTTAGAGTTTGGGTGGGGTATGTAGATTTTAGAGGTCTTTGTCTTCCTAATCTCATAGCTTCTAGCTTCCTGGCCCCACCTTCCTGAATGGATTATTGAATTTGCACTTCTAAAAGCTGGCCTCTGCCTAGTCACTGGGGCTGATTTCTGGGGGCTGGTTTCTGTCTTTTTTAAGATCTTCATTATTCCTTTGGGGAAATATAGTTTGCCTTTTTAATATTTCCCAAAACATTTCTTTCTCTGGATTCTTTCTACAATCCATTTCCTCAAGAATTCTTTGTAGTGGATTTCAAGATAAGATAAGGTAAGGTAAGGTAAGGTAAGATAACCTTTATTTATTTATTTATTTATGAGACTTATATATCGCTTTAAGTGCAAGCACTCTCTAAGCGGTGTACACTAGTAAGCAATGTATATATATATTTACATTGCCCCCAACAATCTGGGTCCTCATTTTACCTACCTCGGAAGGATGGAAGGCTGAGTCAACCTTGAGCCGGTGAGATTTGAACCGCTGACCTGTTGAACACAGTCAGCTAAAGTGGCCTGCAGTACTGCACTCTAACTGCTGTACCACCTCGGCTCATTTTTTTACTGTGGGCACAACGGCACACATAAAAAATGAAATTTAGTTGCCCGCTCTCAAAGTGAAACACATACATGACACACATCTAAACATACTATATACAACATATGTACAGACCCATATCCCTACATATACATAACAAATAAATATTAAATACTGTCCATCTTGAATATATAACGGAAGGAGGAAGCTTGAGAATTCACAAGGTTAATGCTGTATGGAATGAAACTCTGGCTGAATCTGGATGTTCTGCTTTGGATACCACAAAGTCTCCTCCCAGAAGATAACAGGGAAAACAGGTTGTGAAGATGATGTGTAGTGTCCCAGATAATCTTATGGACCCTGCTCAAGCAATGCTTCTGAGCTATGTCCTGGATGGGAAGAAGGGAAGACTGGACTTTCCAATAGGGAAGGCTGAGGATTACACAAAAGTGATCAAACATGGATGGATACAGAGAGTGCCTTATCTCCTAGCATGGATCAAGCCTGCCAAATTCAGTATTTCCATTTCTCATTCTGAAGAACAAGTGTAGGCCTCAGCCTTCCAACAACTTAGCCATAAGGGGAAAAAAAGTAAGCAAAAATTGATCTACTAAGCAGACTTTTAAGTCACAGCTATAAATTCTGTTCTGTTTGGTTAAGGAACATTTGTTCTGCCTGAAATAGAAAGCGTTGCCTTTATTTTTTGTCTTTTTCGTGATAGTCAGAGTGGTGCTTCTAAGCGCAACTTTTCATAGAGATGATGCCATCTATTGGCTAATTGTGATATTACAATTCGGAGGAAAAGTGGAGAGCCTAAAAATTCACCTTTGGTACACATATTCACATATCAGCTAAACCATGGTTTATGTAAACAGTATGGAGTCACCCAAATGTGGTTTATTAAACCAAATGGCTGTATTCATACAGCACATTGATTCCAAACAAAGCACACTCTATATTAGTAATCACATACCTTTAATTAATTAATTTTATTTATTATATTTACATGCCACCCATCTTGCGGTTCCAGGAAGTAATACGTTAACTATGGCATCAAGTCTGCTTGGTTATAAGAACGCTTGTGTATTTTAAGTCACTTTGAAACACCAGGGCTTGGATCTTCTAAAACCCAACAAAAATGCAAGAATAATAGTGTGTCTAAGGTCAGGCTCTGGTCTGAAGTTTCCCCATAAAATCAAGAAAACCCCATTCAAAAATTAACAGCTTCTTCCTGGGATGCCGTACGAGGGGTAAATTTATATTCTCCGAAGAGCAACTGGCGGAAAAGGACGTGCCCTCCCGAGTCTCTGGGGTTCCTTTAGAGATCTATCTATCTGCTCCTTAAGGGTCGAAAACGACTAAAGGCGGATAATCAACAGAGTCCCGGGAGCCACCGGCTCAGCCTAGCCAGACGACCGAGCGATCAAGATCCTTCCCAGCCTGCCTGGAATCCGAAGCGCCGCCGGATCCGCGGCCTCTCGTCTGGGTGAACCTTCCAACGCCCAGCCGCTCGACACTGCGCGGCGTTGCAGCTAGTCGGGGCTGAGCGAAGCAGCTGCACCCGCCTCGCCAGCCCAACCAGCACCTGGCCGGCGCGGGGCAGCGCAGAGGAAGCCTCCCACGGCTGAGCAGAGCGGGCGAAGGGAGCTCGGCGGCGGCGGCCCAGGAAGCCCGGTCGCCGTCCCCGTCCGGGGCCAGGCGGAGCCAGAGCCGCGGAGGAGGAAAGAGGAGGAGCGGGTGAGAGGTCGGCCAGCTCCGGTCGCCCATAGAGACGAAGGAGTCCCGAGTGGCGAGGAGGGCGGAGGCGTGTGGGGGCTCCGAGGAGGGACCCGCGGACGGTGAGCAGCGGCGCGGCCGAGAGGGGCGGCGGGGCGGTTTGGGGGAGCGGGAGGGTCACGGCGAGAGGCAGCGCCTTCTTCCTCTTTCCCTTCTCCGGGTAGTCTCCGCCTCTCGCCATTGCGGCGACGGCTGGCGGATGAGAACTGCCCCTCGGCTCTGGCCGCCGCTGCCCTTCGTCCCTGGCTGGCGGCGTGGTTCAGGCGGCGGCACTGGGCACCTACCGGGGGCGCCTGGCTCTTTCCCGCCGCTGCGGGGCGCTGGGCGAGGCGTGGCTGCGGCCCGGGGAGGGCGCTGGGGCCGCTAGGCCACCCGTCCCTGGTCGTGGCTCGCTTGGCTGGCCCCGGGTCCCGGCTGCGCTTGTGAGGGCGGGGAAGCCTGTTCGGGGACTCTCCTTTTCTTCTCCCCTGAACGCCGTCGGTGGTCAGTTAGGGAACACAGGCGAGGTTGTGTGTTTCCCAGGGGGTAAACGCGTAAAAGCGCCTGGGGATGGCCAGGCAGACGCTGTTGCGAAGCCGAAGGCCCGGGCCTGGCCATGGAAGCAGCTCCAGGTTCTGAGACAAGGAGCCCTCCCTGCCCTTCGCCTCCCTAACCGGTTTCACGGAGCCTCAGCCTATCATTTTGTTGCCTCGCATTAGAATCATTTAAGAACTTAATTAATTTCTGTGTCTCCTTCCCAAGCTCTGTGACTTACTGGCTGTCTAAGGAATGGGTTGTTCCTCCTGGCTTCCCTGGGCCCTTGAATCGGCCCTTATTTCAGAAACGCAGAGAATTCGTGTCGAGGAACTTGATATTGCTCTGGCCCAGGGATTGTATTAGTCTGTATTCATGTTCGGCATTTGGCTTGCCTGTGAGAAATAATGGCATTTTCAGCCCACTTTCCTCAAAGAGAATCGCACAGAACTAAAATATGTTTGGGCTTCAATTTTAAAAGTTCAGCTGGCCACCTCCCTGTAAAAAAAGAGGTGTGGTATGATATGCAGACAAACACAGCAGGAGAGAAAGCTTCTTTTATCTGTTACTACCTAATTACCTCCAAGCAGGTAACATCCAAAGTTTTTGGACAATGACTACCATCATCCTGAGCACCAGATTGGGAAAATCAGTAGATGGCAGATTGATTTTGGCTTGATGAGTAATCACTATTGTTTGGCTGGAAGATCCATCTTTGTCCTGTTTGGTACATTGGCTGCAATATTTTGTAAGTGTGTAACTCTGTACTGTGTGTGTCCAGCATCATGTGGATGCTATTTTCTCATTGTTAAAATGTCATAATTCATAACCCTAATTCATACTAATTCAGTTGCTAGATTTCAACATCTTTGTAGTAGTACAAAAAGGCAGCAATCTGCATGGTAGCTGGAGATGGATGTAACTATAAATGGTATAGTTACTTTCGTCTCATGGTGGTGCTTCAGTAATACCTGCGTGTCAGAAACATAATTTGTGTTCTATATTTTGGCAAAAATACACAAGTTGTCTATTTCTACTTTGGGATTTTTTTTTCAAAATGGCAGAATTTTGGAAAGAACAAATAATTTTGTATAGTACACAAGCATGAAGAGGAGAAGCAGGAGAAAATAGTTATCAAGGGAGGGCCTTCTGCTGTCTGTTTTCCGTTAAGCTGCTTTTTTTGTTGTATTAAAAAAAATCTCTACAATTTGTGAAAGTGAGCCGAATGAGACTCCACCCAGTACTGAGGATGTTGTAAGAGGAGAAAAAAGGAAGTAATTGTTCCAATCTGAATGTTGGGTGACTTTGGAAGCATACGCTGCAGAACAGTAATAAGCAGAACAGTAATAAGCGCTACACTTTCACCATTGCTAGTGAAATGTCTGCTGAATAATAATTGCATTTTCTCCCCAAAGAAACAGTATGATTGGCAGGAATCCACAGTCTTGGCTTTCTAGACTTCTTTAAGAGACAGTTGTCATTGATCATTCCCATAGTGTTCTGCATGAGCAGAAAAATTGAAAAAGGAAGTAGCTTCTCATATCTCCCTTAGTGTTGATGGTGAGTTTCTATCTGTTCCAAAGTTCAACACAACTGAAATTTCAAATACAAAACTTACTTCTCCACTTTTCTGGAAGAGATTTTTATATTCCCAAGTTTACTGCAAATTCAGCACAGTGTGAAAGTCTCCTCACATTTCCAAGTTAGAATTGAAGAAGGATTTCTCTTTTGTTCCGACACTTGGCAAATGAATTTGTGGAGGCCTGATGTTGGGAAGCTAGTCACAAAAAAATGGGACAGCAGAACATTAGGGAGTTGTTGAACGTGTTCTGTCATGCTTAAAGTTGGTTTTGTTTGTTATGGAAATGAAACACAAGACTGACTGCGTAGTGAAATATAACAGAGTTGGATTAAACAACTTCTATTTAATAGCTATTTAAGACAAGCTCTATTTAATTTTTTTAAAGTTAGAATCCCTCCCTTATGCTTGCTTTATAACTGTCAGCACATTATAACTGTTTTAGGTGACATGAAATTATTTGCTCTAAGAAAGATTTAGCTTCAGCTTCTAGATTAATTTTAAGTAGCTATGCAAATAGAAAAAATAATGTTATGATGAATTAAAGTTAGGGTTGTTTTCTTTTACAGACTTCATTTATTTAGATGTTAATGGAACTATTTTCACAGCATGTATACTTGAAATATTTTATAGTGTAAACTGGTTCCTTGAAGATTTAGAGTATGTCATATTTTAGGGGCTGAGCTAGACCTATTTATTTATTTCCCATTTTAAAGATTATTGTAAATGTCGACAATTCGACTGTTTTCAGCATTTGCACATACCTATCATACTTTTTTTAAAAAATGATTTATTGCAGGGTTGGTTAATTCTTCTTTTCTTTTAGTTTTAGTCCTTGTTGATGAGTTAAGATTGAAAGAATTGTGAAAGGTTGGTACTCAATAGTTCAGTTTGATCTCATAATTTGAAAGTTGGTTAATGTTTCAATTCTGCAGTAGACAAATACATCTTATATTACACTTTCAGGACTTGCAGAATTTGATTATCTTGTATTATGGAGATTGACTATATTTCACAATTTGGCTTTGGTTGGCTTCAGCATTGATAGCAGTAAGGAAATATTGTCTCATTTCATGTGCAGACAAAATTTGTAATACAGTAGTCTGCTTTTGAGCCCTTCTGGCACATGCTAACTGGATTCATGTCTTGCACGTCCCACAGTTTGTTCCATCATGATTTACTGAATTACACTACATTATAAACTAAATTACATAACAGATTTCTAAACCAAAGCGACTGCATTCATAAAACATGCTCACTACTAAAGTCAAACAGTGTATGGCTATTATGTAAACCAGGCCAGTGTCTCAAAGGAACTATATCAGTTTGCTATATTGTATGAAGATTAATTACCATATGCAAGAAGTGTTTTTCAATCTTGGAAAGTTCCTACATAGCTGAATAAGAAATGCATGAATTATGCTATGGAACTAATACAAAATATAATTCTTCAAATACACGATATTGTTGAAGTATTTAGCATTTGAAACCTTCCACGTAGTTCACACTATAGAAACTGTGCTTATCAATAAGTTTCTCAGGCTCAAAGTCTGCAGTGGAAGGTCCAAGCAAAGGTGTTGTTTTTTTCACTTCAGGTATATGAAATTAGATTGTAAGATTCCACAACAGTCATTTGCAGGACCTGAAAATATCTGCATTCTGTTTGCTTTCTTTTTCTTTATAAAGTGAAGTAAAATTGTGTTCAGTTCTTCCTGTTGCTTCCTTCAGAAAAGCCAGTAATAAGAGCCATGGTGGCGCAATGGTTGGAATGCAGCATTGCAGGCTAATTCACTGCAGGCTAATTCACTGCCAGGAGTTCGATTCTGAGTGGCTCAGGGTTTACTCAGCTATCCATCCTTCCGAGGTCAGTAAAATGAGGACCTAGATTGCTGAGGGCAATAAGCTGACTCTGTAAACTGCTTAGAGAGAGCTGTAAAGCACTGTGAAGCGGTATACTGTAAGTCTAAGGCAGCGTTTCTCAACGTTTGTGTGACAGCAACCCCCGTCACACAAACGTTATGCGCATGCGCGGTGCGGCGTGCATGGGGGCGGGGCCCCGTGCGCGGCACACGTGCGAGGCGCCGCTCTGTGCGCGGTGTGCGTGCGTGGCGCCGCCCTGTGCACAGCACGCATGCGTGGCGCCGCCCCGTGTGCGGCGCGCATGCATGGCGCCCCCCGTGTGCGGCGCGCATGCGTGGCGCCACCCCCATGCGCAGTGTGCATGCGTGGTGCCGCCCCCATGCGCAGCGTGCATGCACGGCAGCGCCCCCGGAGGCACGGCGGCGCCCCCATGCGCAGCACGCATGCGCAGCACCTCCCCCAGAGGGGACAAAATGGCGGATCGCCGCCTTTGGCGACCCCCAAAAAGTGATCGATCTACCCCAAATGGGGTCGCGACCCATAGGTTGAGAACCGCTGGTCTAAGGGCTATTGCTATCATCTTTCTTCAGAGGAGAAAAACTCATATACACTGGGTGAGTTCCTCAGAAAATGCCCGCAGGCCACATCTAGCCCTTCAGCTGCCCTGTCCTGCCAGCAGCAGTGGCATCATAGGATGGGACATCAGTGTCAGTCAGCAGGGCATGGGGGGGGGCAAGGCATCAATGCCCTCTACAACAGACCCAGTTTCTCATGTGGCCCCTTGGGAAAATTGATTGCCCACCTTTGCCTTTAGTTCTGGTAATAAGCTTTCTTATCTTTACGTGAATATTCTTCAGCAATCCATGTGTACCTGTCTTTGTGGGTTGGGGACCAAGGCATAAATAGTGGATGGATGGATGGATATATGGGGAAGTAAGCAAGGCTGAGTAAGAAAAGAAACCCGACAGACAACAGATAATACGGAATTGGAAACAATGTGCTAGGAGAGAGAAAATCCAGTCAAAAACTTTTTGGAGCAACAGAAGCTTGGGTAAAAAGATAGGGTGAACCTATCTGATATCAATTAGCTTTTTGAAAACCCAACTCCAG